TGTCCAGTTTCCTCAGATTTTTCACTGCACCCCATGCTCAGATATCCAAATTTCTGCCTAATGTATTTGAGAATCACCTTCTTTGACATTTTTCATAGATTAATATGTTATTGTTAAGTGACTCGTTTGGTCAGGTACCAGGATTGAACTAAACATGAGGGGGAAAAGAAGCGAGTCTCCAAAGAAAAACTTTTAAATACCTTGGACATTAACTATTTTTTCAATCTGTGATTTAGGAAATTTAAATATATATGGCAATAGTTTTATTTAAACAAAAAAAATTATTAAGATTGGATTGTTGACATTTTTTGAATGTTAAGTAGCAAAAATTGCATGATTGTCTTAAAAAAATAACAAACATAAATCATCAAACAGGAGAACTTTAAAAAAACAGCTGATATAACCCACTGTGTACTAATCACAGGACTTCCCCATGAGTAACTCAACACATGTTCAATTCCCACAACAGCTGGGGGGTGGGGAAAAGCTTTATTAATCATGCAGAACCGACAATTTGCCGGTTATCTTGATAGCAGTGCCATCATCCCAAGTGCAGTACCCTCTTCAGCTGAAATGGTGCCACCCACAGCCACAAAAATACACACTCTCAGTCATAGTAAACAGCCTCCTCTCCTCTCAGTTATTAATCACTGACATTATTCCCCTCCTCGCCTTGCTCTAATTCAGTCTGATGTTTGTTTCACAGAAATGATTATAGCTAGGGAAATTAACATGCACTAATGTGAGCACTAAAGGGCTTAGTTATATGTCCAGTCTATTTAGTATAGACCAATTAATGAAATAATCACAAACTAGTCACTAATGCTCTGTATTTTTTTAACATTATGTTTTGTAGAAGTAAGTTCACGGTGGATTGTTCTGGAAGGAATTCAGCGTGAAAGCATGGAAATAGAACATTAATAATGCACACAAACAGTATTATTAAGCAGCTCTTTATTTTTTTAATGCAGTCCATGTATGCTAAAATGTTTCTATCATATTTTTTACCTTAAATGTTTGTTTTTGTAATTTTATCAGTGTGTCTTCTTACTACATGAAGCAATATCAAGCTAAAGTGTGCAACAGACCCACTAATGCTTTGGTGTGATAGCAGATTCTGCACTCTTAGTCTATCATGAATTCTGCACCCCAAACAGAGCCTCAGTAGCAGATTCTGCTCCACTGATGCATTGAGAGGAGAGATAGCCAAGTATCACAAATTCACATTTTATCAAAGAAATGCTCCATTTGCCTTACAAAAATAAAGCTTTGCAGCAGTAATTTTGGTATTTAAGTAGCTAAGCATGAGAATATTTATAGCATTTTTCCACATTACAAAAAAGAACAAAGATAGGACTGAGAAAAGAGACTGCTGCAGTTTGTATTGCACTGTATTGATTGTCTACATAGATATTAGTCAAGCCCATTTACCTATAGAAATTCTGGTTTAAATCACTCAAGTACTTACTGGAGTTAAATATTGACATTATCAAAGAGAAGACGTGTGTCTGTTACCTATAGACTTAATTTTGTGTGCATAAAGCCATTTACTTTTTTTTCTTGTCTCCAAAAAACACTTCATTCTAGGTGATCTAAGTGATTGTGTACTGGGTTCCACATTGTTGCTAAATCTGCAATAATGCTTACTGTCACTTTATGTCACTAAAACAGGTCAGAATGCTAAGCACTGAATTTGTTGAGATTTCTACACCAGTTTAAACATACAATCTGTTAATCAGTGCACTGTGCTGCACACTGTTATAATTAGTGAGACATATTGTAGTGAAACTTTACTTCAAAGTAAGCCATGAACTGTGAGAGTCTCTTTTCAGTTTGAAGATTTGTTTCAGTTACAGATTACTAGACCAGACAGATTACTTTGATAATTCTTGAGTGACTGTCTACTCCAGTAAAAACTAATGTTGATTTCAGTACCAGTAATGTGTGCTAAGATTTTTCTCCAGTAGGAGACATATTGTTTAGTCTTTACATCCACACTGAGACTGTTTTAGCTTGCACAGTGTTTGTCTTTTCACAATTGAATAATAGGATCCTGCTGATACAAGGCATGCATCTAATAAACTTCAGGAGAATGTCACAAAGCGTCCTGCTGATGAACATGTACATAAATTAAATAAGATGATTCTAATGAATCAAGAAAAGATCTAGATTATCCATTCATTTGAATGTCTTCATTCCTAATGTCAATCCCAGAGGAGTCCTTGGCAAAAGAAGTAATAAAGCTCCCATCGTTTAAGAAATGATCTACAATCATTTATTTGCCTGGCAAATACAGATGTGTAATCTCTTTTACCAGTGATGCTTTATGTTTATACAGTAGTCTTTTGGGGTCATAAATCATTGAAAACTCTGAAAGATAGAATCTGTAGTTTTTAGTTGTTTTATGTTTCTTTTCATGTGACGAGCAAGAGCAGCCACAAGTGCTCTCAAAAATAAATAAATTAAAACAAAAAGAAGAGTAATTAAGTCCTTTGTGAATGTGTGAATGTTACAAGCTTAGGCAGTTGGGTTTAACAGATAAAATAGAATCAGATTCACCATGGGTCACTTTGCTATCAATCCCTCGCAGTAGCAAAAGGCAATTCAAATTCCAGATCAAATACGCATCCTTGTAATTCAATTAATGCAATATACATGAAAATATCCTTTACCTTGGGTATTCTCAAGATGACCCCCCCCATACACCTTAAAAATGAATAATGATTTTTCATGCTTCGCCCCAAAGCCCACGAGCATTCCTTCAGGCTTTGAAAAGAGCAAAACATTTCATTTTGGGGTCAGCATCAGGGAGTACAGGTCACTGCTAGTCTGTGCTTCAGGCAGAGGGAAAGGACGCGAACAGACAAAGCTGCCTTCAAGAGTGCGCATCAATTGTGCATTCACGGGGGAGTGAGTCACTTCCATAGAAAAAGGGCTCTGAGTCAGAAGCCATAAATGTGTAGAAAGAGTTTTCAAATGCTTGGTGAGGTTCTGCATTTGAGGCCACCAGAAGGGCAGAAGAGCTAATTCTAAAAAAGAAGGAGTCATCATTTGGGTGCTGTAGCATTTGTGCTGTACTGTGTGCTCAGTGTTTAATCCCCTGAGTTATAGCGCTCGAGTGAAATTTATTCCAAAACAGTTCACTGTTGCCATTCAGAGCAAACTTATAACATCTGAATTCTGCCTTGAAATTTGCTGCATTAATTGTATGTCTATCGCGTAATCAGTTCTGGGATATCCTGCTGTGTCAGTGGTTACATCCCCTATGTAGTATCAAACAAGCCCTGCAATGAAATGTTCCAGGACAAACGCACTGCCAGACTCACCATGACACTTCCCTTTTATTAGCATCCAATTTGATGAGCTCATTTCCGCACCAACACTCTTATCACAAGCCAAGCCTGGAGACAGTCAGACCCCTAAGACACAGCCCCCCACTTTAAACCACTGCTTAGAGGGCTGTTTGATTCTTCAATTAATCTCTTGTGTCAGAGGGGAGAAGCTGTAAGTCCAAAAGCTATTGATAGCGTCCATGTTCGGAAGACTGAGAGTTGGCAGCAAATAAGAATTTTCAGTTGTCGTCCAAGCAGTTTGTTTTGTGTGTGTGTGTGTGTGTGTGTGTGTGGCACACAGAAAATCTGGTTGGTAAATACCCTAAAGTAAAATAAGCACTTGAAGGAAGAAAATGAAGCATAAAATCAAATACACAAACAACGAGATGTAAATTTAATCTGCAATGTCAGAGGATTACACAGGATTTTTTTTTTTTTTTGCATCATTTTGCTGTTTCAGCAAGATGAAGGAGCACCGACCTTATCAAGACACTGCTTATATCACAGGCCAGAGATTTTTTAAGGGTCAGCACTTTTATGATTGCCTCGACTCATATTCACAAGTACAAGTATATGCAAGCACGACGACAAAAGCACTCACATACCCATAAAGACATCCTTACAAACACGCTCGCTTAAACCATCCATAATCACTTTATCAGCCTCGCGCTGCCTGCTGAAGCATCAATTGATTTGTTGCCAGTACATGTCACTCCTCTCCAGTGCCGTTAAATCTCCCAAGTATGGAAGATTAGCATCAATATATAATTCTAAAATTAATTTGGAGGAAAATGAGGGATAAGTGCATCGCATCATCGAAAGTCAATTTGTATATCTCACCCTCACCCGTGAGGTCAACTGCTTACGGTATTGGCCACAATAATACTAGACTAAAATAAGATTAATGACACAAAGAGCGAGCCAGTGCTGGTGGAGGTTACAGGAAATGGGCACACATTGTTTTTTGTTGTTTTTGAACGCCTGTGCGAGACACTGCAGTGCTCAGTATCAGCTCCAACTGTTCAGCATTTAAACCATCAAAACTGTAAAACGTTAAATCACCGATTCTTTACGGACAAATTTCCAATCTATTATTAGACATCAAAAACGCTTCCTATTTAATTCAGGTTGGCCGCTAGAAAAGTTTAGCCTCTCTGACATCAGCTCAACAACAGCTCTGAAGAAATTAACAGCTATAGTTCCTGCCAAGCTTCAGGGCCACAGAGCATGCCAGAGTTTAAAAGGCCCAGCATGCATTTGTCTCAATCACAATTTTTACAAGGCAGAACTCAGCTATCATTAAAATATTTCCTCACACAAGACCATGAAAAGCATCATTAAATGATCTGGATTAGATTTCAGTGTTGATGCAGGAGAGGATGCATAATGGAGCTTTTTAACGATATGTTGTTGACAAATGAGGCAAATTATAAAGACGCTGGAGTCTAACCAGGAGCCTGGCATAGTGTGTGTTTCTGATTGGTTGTAGCGTCCGAGGTATATTTCCATAGTGATAAATCACAGAGTCATATTAAATTGTGCAACTCACAGCAATAACACATTAGCAATAAGTATTCTGATATTAACAAATACATTCAGCATTGCATGTTAACAGCATAAAGATGATGTTGGCGACTAAATTGATTCCGGCTTTCTTTTTTGTCACAGTTATACAGGCAGAGTTGTAGGAAATGGTCTGTATGCCCAGAGGAATAACCCAGAGGTCAAAGTTCGCAATGTGGAGTGCGCAGTCGCTGAAGCTAAGGAGAGGCTGGAGAACTTCAACACGGTAGGATGGATTTTTCAGTTATCATATGCATAGCTTAATTCTTTTATTAGACCAGCTATCATAAAAACAAGAAAATATTAATAGAAATCTGTCAAAAATGTGTTTACAACTATAAAATGTGTGCTTATTCATTAGTAGAATAACAAACTGAATTCATGTTTTAACACTAAAATGTGAGCCAGCACACTGGACATATTAATAACATTCAACCACTAAACCCATTTTGGTCTGTTCAGTAATGCAAGTAAATAGCTGTAATTCAGAATCTAATAATTTTTTTCTCTTCTTTTTGTCAATTTTTCAGCTTTCTTGTCAAATAGTTGTTTGAAAATTTATGAATAACAACAATATTTATATTTTAGCATTAAAACTCTGATTTTGAGTAAAGAGCTTAACTGTGATGGATGCACATGGTCTAATTGTTGTGTTTTGTAATTAATAACAAGAGGAATTAAGAAGATAATAATAATGCTAATAATACAGACTTGATGATTGTTGGTTGTGGACAAATGCAACTCAAAGTCTTATAAGGACTCAAATGCTACAACACATTGTCAAAAGAACTACTGAAATGTCCTTGCCATTTTCTTTTGATCCAAAGACTTGTTTTGAGCTCAGAGGCAGATATCAAAGATAAATGAAAAGGATAGTGTGTGAAAGGGAGACAGTGACAAAAAAGGGAATTACTGTGGAAAGAAAAAAAAAAGAAAGATGAGAGGCAGGAGCAAAAGGTCATGAATGAGTGACAGATAGCATAGATGACACAGGCAGCTTCAAAGTGACACTGTTTGTCATGTAGATGGGGTTTAGGGCTGAAAAGAACCAAGAAGAAAAGGGCCATTTCAGACAGTCCCTAGAGGCCATTTGAGGAGACAAACGGGCCAGGATTTGGTTCCCCTCTGCCCGCCTGCCCTTTTGTTGCCCTGAAAAAATTATGGCCACAGATAGAAAGTGCAGCGATGACTAGAGCTCTATCTCTATATCTCACTTTGCTTTTTCCGTTTGACCACTTTTATACCTGTGTGGTTTCCCATGCTTCCATCTTATGGATTTCCCTTTTTCTCTGTATTAACTGTATTTTTGTTTTAGTCTTATTTGAGTCGATAGTGTCACTCGTTACTCTTTCATCTGTACAGCAGCCACACTATATATCACTCAACCTGTTAACTGGCAGTTCAAGATCATTCCTGTTAGACCACAACATCCCATTGTGCTGGTGGCTGTCAAGTGCCTCGTTGTCATGGAAACTATGCAGAGTTGAGCGGGTGTCCTGTTGACATTTACAGACTTGAAAAGCCTACCTTGCATCTACACTAGGTGCCAGAGCTTGACTGAGCTTTATGTTTGTGCCAGATAAGAGAGAGTATCACAGAGTGTTAGCCTGCATGAAGTGACAGTCAACCAAAGAAAGTCTTGGTCGACTGGAATCGTTACTACTCTCAAACCAATCGATTGGCGGCACTGGGTGGGGGGTGATAAGAGAAGAAATGTTCAGCTTGGTCTCGGTGTAGGTGTGTGCTCCTGCGAGACCGAGGAGCTAGTGAATCTGTGGTTTGGTGTGAATGCTGTTATAAATGAATTATTAGGGCAAACACGGAAATCGACGAGTTCTGATGTATTTGCACTCAAAGCCTTGAGCCTAAACGGGGAAGTTGTTTGAACATAATAACACCGACAAAATGTAAATGTTAATTGAACAGGATACATTCATTTGGGAAAATTAAAAGCTACTAAAACACGCAGGAGGTGACAAGATTGGCTGATCAGTGAGAATTTGGCTGAATAAACAAATATCAACCAAGCTATCAACCAGTCGAACTAGAGATTACAGCACAAGTCATCACATGTGCTCATACCTGTGTGAACAGATTGCTTGCTAAGATGCAGATTTGCAGACATAGGAACACTAAAAAAGAGAAAATAAAACTGTATGTTTTCTGAAATGCTGCATATTAACTTTTAAAGTTCATCTATGCCTGACAGCAAAGATGGTCACTATTTAGACAAATACTGTAGGCCAGATAAAAGTGGTTTTGTTCTGAATGTTCTGAACATTTTTGGAACCAGAAGCTTCAATTCATCAATAACCTTTGAGCATACTTTTGCTGGATGCTGGCAAACAGTTGATAAGTAAAGGCACAAAACATGCAACATGCAATTTACCTGAAATACCTGAAAATTAATTTGCTTTTTAAAATCTATCTGCATTCATAAACAAGGACTGGAAAAGGAAGTTTCAGGTGTGCTATTGGAAAGACGCACACTGCTTTGTATACAGTGGGCTGCTGAGGGGGCCTGGGAGCATGGAGCAAACCTATAAATAACCAAAAACCAGCCAGGCATGTGATTGTCATTGTTCTTGGAAGAGCTGCAAGCACATAAAAGTAAAGGTTATCTTACTAAAAGTGCAGGCAAACTATCAATTTTTATCTTTGAATAAATAAATAATGAGTTTGATTGATTTTATGTTAAATCTGATTTCATATTAAACAACAAAAAAATAGTTTGATAGTATAATGTGTGACTGTGACAGTAACAAAAGGTTAAAAAAAAGTCTGCCTGGTTTACTCTCATGGACTAGATGATTCAAAGCATAGCCTGCACAGTGTTGGTCCTCCGTGCATGCTTGTACCCCCACTTTCATCTTTTCAAAAACTCCTTTGAGTTTCAGATGCTCGCAACACTTTTAAGTCCTCACTTCTTCAAACGACTGTTTAGGTTTAAGATTTCGATTGTGTGTCGATGTTAGGAGGATAATTAGGCCGTGCGTTTGTCTTCTTTCATCCTTTGAACTACTGTGGATATTTATTTCATTTTAAATGGAAATTAGATGCTGACAAATAACAAATGCACACTGACTGCTTTTAAATCATATCCATATTTTCTTTTTTTTTAGCTTAAAAGATATTGCAGGTTTTTCAGAGAAGGTCTAATCTCAGCTTTTTCCAGATTTGAATAACTTCAATTTCCGGGATTAGTGGGCTTAAAGACGTGTATATTTTTACCTACTGAAGAGCAGTTACACTCTGAGCACTGTGGCACTAAGAGGATTGGAAAACGACTCTTGATATATCGCAGACTATGACCCATCATCTAACCATGGCACCCTTCTGTTTAAGCACTCAGATCCCTTTACAAAATGAGTATGTGTGTGAGTTTCACCCACACAACCCTACACATACAGTACACACGGGGATAGAGCTAGAGGACATGCACACAACATTTCCACGTTAAATCAAGGACATAACATCTAGAAATAAAACTAAAATACACACACACACACGGGACAAGGCTAAATCTTGACCTTCTATAAAATAGTCCATTAAATGAGTAGGCCAACTCCCCTGTCCTCCCCTGTGTACCTCCTCTAACTCTCCTCTTTCTCCTTTTCTTTCTTTTTGCCTGTAAAGGTTGCTAATCCGGACAATAAATGCTTCAAAGTAGATTTCTGATTCTTAGCCATCAGTCCAGCTGTTTTTGGGTGGGGATCATTTCACAACGGTCTATCTGTTTCCATGTGATTATTAAGTCCAGATCATTTGTCAGTTTGTCACTTTGCACTTTTGTAAATGAAAAGTCAGCGGCAACATTCAGGGTAGGAAAAAAACCCCAAAACACTCAGACGCTGATTCTCATGCTTTATTTCTATCTTTATTTCACTCAGACTCACGCCTATAAAGGGGCAATAGCATTAACAATTTTGAAAGCGGTTGCAGGATAGAGAGTTGGAAAGCATAAAGATGCAATATAGTGAGGCTGACATGTGATTGATGGGACTGACTGCAGCTTTGCTGTCTTGTTTGGCCAGTGGCCCAGATAGGTTCCACATCAGAGAAGCCACGCTTGTTTTAGACCCACACTGTGCATATCCTCTTTGTGGGTCCAGTCAGTCCATGGCCCTATCAGCTGCTGCACAGACTCAGAGACTCAGAGTTCTATGTGCCTTTGTTAGATAGACTTAATTGTGCTTGCTTTTTAGAAACTGTTAAAATAAACAGATAAACAGCTGATTCTTTAAAGTATATCGGTTTTATAGATATACAGCTCTCAGCGGACTTTCTGACTTCAGTATACATCTCTTTTATGATTTAGCAATGCCTGCAGCAGTGTGAAAGGGTTTGAGCTCTCAAGAGTTAGTGGAGTCCAGGGATGAAGAAAGAGCTCGGGCTGAGCTGGCAGCCTGTCACAGGGAGGGGACAAATTCTTTCCACTTGAAGAAGATGATGGAGTTGGTCTTCACAGGAGCTCTGCTGCTCTTTACTGCTGCTGTGGCAACGATACAGCAACAAGTCTCACTGCCCAGAGCTCTCCATTCACTTGGCAACCAGACTTCATGAACCCAGACTGTAATTTAAATATAACTTTTTTTTAAATGCCATAATTAGATGCAAAGCTCATAAAAATTCAGTGAACTGTGGATGTTTTTCTTCACTGGGTAATACTGTATTTGCTTGCCTTTTGGGTTATAATTTTAATACAGTGATTCTTGTCCTGTTAAGAAAATATGTGGCTGGTTGTGTTTTTGGGACACGGTTTCAAAAATCCCTTTTCCAAATCCCCCTTTTTAATCTTTTTCAATCTGCTATGGTATGCATTTGTAAAACCATATTAAAGACTGTTTTCTTAAGGTTATCACCAAGATGGATTACAGACTCATGTGGCTTCTCCTTTTTAGTAAATGTTATTGAATCAAGGAGATGCTGGGTTTTTATGTGAAATTATTCACTTTTCCATTTGGGATGATGGGGCATAAAAGTGAAATTGATCATATCGCTGCAAATTGGCACTAAATTCCTGATCTGTTTCAGTTGGGATTCTGAATATCTCATTTCGAGACACACTGATTTAATTTACTTTACATTAGATAAATAAACATATTTTCAAAGGCTTCAGGTAAGAAGAGAAATCTTGAAATAGAAAAAGAAGAGAAATGGATATCTCAGAGAAAAAGTAAGCCACAATCTAATTTAATTTTCCCAGCATATTGGCCTTAGTAAAAG